GGAATTCAATCCTAACTTAAGGTTAAAACAGCTACCACAACATTATTTATAAACATGTGGCTCTTTTTGGATTCTCGGAAGCTGTAGAAATTAAACATGTGAAACAGGAAATATGTTGGGACCGTTGTTTTTGTTTACATCCCTCAAAATATGTTGCCTTGAAATGTTCTCTTCCTTGATTACACTTAAGCCACTTTCGCTCAAGGTATAAGTACAGCTTGTAAATTCTGAAGTAAACCACAAGTGCACTTTCTGTAAAATCAAGCATTTTTTTTCCCCCAGATGTGAACGAGTGTGAAGATCCGTCACAGTGTCCTGGTCAGGAGTGTTTGAACTCTCAGGGATCGTATCGGTGTGTGTCCTGCAGACCTGGATTTGGTCTGAGAAATGGAGCCTGTTCAGGTACAGTAAATGCAACACATTTACAGTGCAATTTAACCATCAATGATAAGTGGTTAGCACTGTAACCTTACAGCAAGAAGGTTGCTGGTTTGAGTCCCGGCTAGGTCAGTTGTCATTTCTGTGTGGAGTTTGCATGTTCTGCCCGTGTTGGCGTAGGGTTTCCTCCGGGTGCTCTGTTATCCCCCAAACATGTCCAATCCGGATAGTGCTATTAGTTAATCAGTTTGACCAAGGTGTTTGTTAGATTGGCTGATTTTAGCCTGCTGTGTAATGACGGACTCGTTGATTTGTGTCAGATATCGATGAGTGCCGTCAGACTCCCGATCTGTGTGTTAACGGTCGCTGTGAGAATACGATGGGAAGCTACAGCTGTTCCTGTCGCCCTGGATTCAGACTGGAGGAAAACATCTGCAAAGGTACCAGATTTTACCCTTGCATGCTGTTTAGGATGTTTTCATGCACTGAGGTTGGTGATTTTGAGGCTTAATTTGGCCGTAGCTTGATCTGTGTTTCAGCAAATGGAATGAGTTTTGGTGACAAATCTTATTTTGGCGCATATAATTTGGAAAAATGGGTTCTTACTACTCTAAACTTAGTGTATAGTAGTGTATTATACCCTATAGTTGTAGAAAACTGCAGTATTTGATCATATGTTTATATTGGTAGCTGTTGTGTTAGCATAGCAACTGTAGAATCACCACAACAGATTAATTACTATGGTTGGTGTGTTACCATAGCAACTATAGCATCACCACAACAGATTAATTACTATGGTAATCGCTATGTTGCTGTACTATGGTTGCTGTGTTACCATGGTAACTCTAGAATCACCACAACATATTAATTACTAAAATTGTTGTGTTGCCATAGCAATTGTAGAATCACCACAACAGATTAATTACTATAGTTGTTGTGTTACCATAGCAACTCTAGAATCACCACAACAGATGAATTACTATAGTCGTTGTGTTACCATAGCAACTCTAGAATCACCACAACAGATTAATTACTATAGTTGTTGTGTTACCATAGCAACTCTAGAATCGCCACAACAAATGAATTACTATAGTTATTGTGTTACCATAGCAACTCTAGAATCACCACAACAGATGAATTACTATAGACGTTGTGTTACCATAGCAACTGTAGAATCACCACAACAGATTAATTACTATAGTTGTTGTGTTACCATAGCAACTCTAGAATCACCACAACAGATGATTTACTATAGTCATTGTGTTACCATAGCAACTGTAGAATCACCACAACAGACCAATTACTATGATTGTTGTGTTACCATAGCAACTGTGGCATCACCACAACTGATCAATTACTGACGACTGTAGTTGTGCTACCATAGCAACTGTAGAATCAACACAACAGATTAATTAATATAGTCGCTGTGTTGCCATAGCAACTGTAGACTCAGAATTATTCAAATATAAGAACTATAGGACGGCTCAAAAACACTGCAGTATTCACTATAAATTACTATAGTATTTTTTTCAAGTGATTAGTGAATAATAATAATATAATGTTAGTGACTCTAAAATGCATCTCAATATGAAGTTTCTTGTTAAAACATTATAAAATCACATTTTCAAGAACACTTGTGTTGATATTACTGAACTATATCACATTCAGATAAATACACCATAAAAATAACAACATGAAACCCAAAATGTACTTGTCAAAATTGCTCAATTGTACAGTTTCATTTGGTCTCTTCTTCTGTTCCAGATGTGAACGAGTGTGAAAATGAGCTTCAGTGTCCAGGAATGGAGTGTGTGAACTCGGTCGGGTCTTTCAAGTGTGTGTCCTGTAAGCCGGGATTTCAGCTTCTTGATGGCCAGTGCCAAGGTACAAACAACACTGATCTGATGAGCTGAAATCTGAGGAAAAAAACATGCCTACATGCAGTTATGAGGCGCAAATTATCATTCAATGTCCCCACAAGTATAGCAATACCAGTAAATTTTGACCTTGTGGGGACTTTTTTTGTTGGTCCCCATGAGGAAAACAGATCATAAATCAGACTGGATGAAGTATTTTGAAAATGTAAAAATGTGTGTGTGTGTGTTTACTTTGTATTCCTCATGTTATAGGGGCCAAATGTCCCCACAAGTATAGCAATACTAGTAAATGTTGACCTTGTGGGGACTTTTTGTTGGTCCCCATGAGAAAAATAGATCATAAATCAATCTGGATGAAGTATTTTGAAAATGTTAAAATGTGTGTGTGTGTGTCTTTACACTGTATTCCTCATGTCATTGGGGCCAAATGTCCCAAGTATAGCAATACTAGTAAATGTTGACCTTGTGGGGACTTTTTGTTGGTCCCCATAAGGAAAATAGATCACAAATCAATCTGGATGAAGTATTTTGAAAATGTAAAAATGTGTGTGTGTGTGTTTACTTTATATTCCTCATATTATAGGGACCAAATGTCCCCACAAGTATAGCAATACCAGTAAATTTTGACCTTGTGGGGACTTTTTTGTTGGTCCCCACAAGGAAAAGAGCTTAAATCAAACTGGATGAAGTATTTTGAAAATGTATAAATGTGTGTGTACCTTGTATTCCTTACATTACGGTGACCAAATGTCCCCACAAGTATAGCAATACCAGTTAATTTTGACCTTGTGGGGACTTTTTGTTGGTTTCTACAAGGAAAACAGCTTAAATCATACTGAATTAAGTGTTTAAAAAATGTAAAAATGAGTGTGTGTGTGTGTTTAGATGTAGACGAATGCAGTCGTACGCCGAGGCGCTGCACTAACGGTCAGTGTAAAAACACTCCGGGCAGCTTCAGATGTGTGTGTGACGTGGGTTTCCACCTCCAGGATGGCGTCTGCACAGGTATCAAAGCGCACACACACACACACTCACATCAGCTCTTCATGCAGCAGTGTTTACACTCGTGTGTGTTCTTCAGACATGGACGAGTGTGTGGACCCGCTGCAGTGTCCCGGTCAGCAGTGCATTAATTCTCCAGGATCATATAAGTGTGTTCCCTGCAGAGACGGACACAGCATGCAGAGCGGACGCTGCACAGGTCAGACCAGCCTCCCTGTGGTCCTTCACTGCGAAAAGCTCGACTACAGTGATCCAGTACAGCATGACGATATCATCAGCAGTCAGTGGGTTAAATCTAATCTTTCTGCATGGTCTCTGCTGTGTGTTTGCGCTCTCTTTCTCAGACATTGATGAGTGTGTGAGTGATCAAGTGTGTGGCGCTCAGAGTGTGTGTGTGAACACGGATGGCTCATATCGCTGCGACTGCGCACCGGGATACAGAGCGGCAGGAGCAGGACGACAGTGCAGAGGTCAGACACACACACACACACACTCATAACACTCTGAATGATCTTTCTAGTAACACTCATTGACTAAATGCTCCCATGAAACATTTCAGACATTAACGAGTGTCTTGAAGGAGATTTCTGCTTTCCCAGAGGAGAGTGTGTGAACACAGACGGCTCATACAAGTGTGTTTGCTCACAAGGCTACAAGAGCGTCGCTAACGGGACGTCCTGCCAAGGTATCTGAAATATTGCCTCACATAATAAACCATAAACCTGCTGTTAAAGGTGCCGTCGAGTGCTCTGAAATGTGCATTTTATAATCATTGCTTGAAGTGATCTCAACTAAAGCATGAAGAGAGGGCAGGACATAGTGTAGCCCCTCCCCTTTAAAAAAAAATCAGTCAATAGCGATTTCTCATTCGCACAGTGGGAGTGGCTGAGCTCAAGGGCATCAAATGTGAAGCGTCTTAGGGTGCTTTCACACCTACACTTTTGTTTCGGAACGTGTCTCGTTGGCCCAGTTAGCGCGGTTCGTTTGGCATATGTGAACAGGGCAATCGCGCTCTGTTCCGCGCCAAAGTAATCGCTCCGAGATCGCTTGAATGAGGTGGTCTCGGCTCGATTGAAACGAACCCTGGAGCGGTTTGATTGTAGTGAGAAAGCGATCCGATCCGAGCGCGGTTGTATCACTGGGTTTTATGGATATGTAATAGGCATATATGGCTATATGGAGAGAGAATTATGAGTAGGGCGGGAAGTTTCGCGAGTCTCCGGATGCCCGCAAACGAGTGATGATGTCCCGGTAATCTCGCGTCTCCCTCCAGGTCCTCAAATAGGCATCGTCACGCACCCTTCTCACCCCTCCCCACCCCATCTCTCCTCAGACACATCGCGCGCGCACCCTGTCAATCCCCACTAAACCACCACCTCTCCTAACAGCTGAGCGGGACGCTGCAAAATAAACCCTGACACTCTGACCAATGTGAGGAGAGTTTACTCACACGTGACTTGTTTTAGCTCTTTTGGTCTGATTAGAAACTTTGCTATGTGAAAGCGAACCGCTCCAAGAGCAAAGAGCAACAATGTAACAATTGTAATCTCCGGAACAACTGAATCGATTCACAGGTGTGAAAGCACCCTTAAAGGGGGCGGGACATGTCAGATACTAGAGAGCATTTGATTGGTCAGAAAATTTGACGAGAATAAAACCGTTGATGCATTTAGGTGGAAGTGACAAACGACAAGCTTTACGTGTTTATATCAGTTTTATATCTTCTGAATGCGAATTTTGCCACTGTTTTGGTCCACACTAGCTTATACACTCACCGGCCACTTTATTAGGTACACCTTACTAGTACAGAACTGAGTGGCGTAGATTCAACAAGCTACTGGAAATATTCCTCAGAGATTTTGCTCCATATTGACATGATAGCATCACACAGTTGCTGCAGATTTGTCGGCTGCACATCCATGATGCCAAACTCCCGTTCCACCACATCCCAAAGCTGCTCTAAGCCTTTAAGGAAAATTAATGAATGAATACAGGGGCGGACTGGCCATCTGGCAAATGCCAGAAGGGCCGGACCAATTTTTAAATGTGGGCCGGTCAGTTTTTTTTTTTTGTAATGTATTGTTTTTCAAGTGCAGACAGCTTTTATCTCTTGCTAGATGTGATATTATGATGATGATAATAAAAGTAATAATAATAATAAATGTTAAGCATTTGGCCCAATCGGCAACTGCCGCCTGGTTTCAAGATGGGCCGACCCAATCCGACGTTACCCGGACGTAATCAAAATCTGGCAAGAATGTCATATAATTTCACCATCTGTACACCAATGTGTGTTTCCGTGGGTGTAGCTGTGTTGGTGTGGCAATTTGTGTGGCTACAGTGCCAGGGCTGAATTTTTCAGTCCCAGTCCGCCCCTGAATGAATATATACTATATGCTAATTTCCATCTACATTTAATGTTTATATTCAATATTTCTTCTTCAAAATGTCCTGTTTAATTTAACATAGTTTCGAAGCAAATCCTCCACCATTTATTGAGTGTTCGGTTGGAGCATGTCATTAAAAATGTCTTGTTTTACACACTATTGTTGCCAACTATACAGTAATTAGTCTAAATTGAGATTGTGAGATTATTTATATGAGATGTGTGCAGGGAAGTAGTCCTGCTGTTTCTGTAAGATCGGGTTCCTCCATCACACTGTCAGGAGTTTGACTGTTATAATGAGCGTTACTGATGATGTCATGCTGGTGTGTGTGTGTGTGTGTGTGTGTGTCCAGATGTGGATGAATGTGCTCTGGATGGAGTTTGTCAGGACGGCCGCTGCTCCAACACTGAAGGGTCATTCCTGTGTCAC